GCAAGGACTGAAGCTTAGGGACAGAGGGACGCTGCTTTCTGGCTTGCTTGCCTGGCCTGCTCAGCTTGCTTTCTTATCCAGCCCATGGACCACCTGCGAGGGATGTGCCCACTGCATCAGTTAGCAGTCATGAAAATCCCCCCAACTATACCCACAGACCAGTGTGATGGAGGAAGGTCCTCAGCTGAGAGTCCCTTTCCCCACATATGTCTAGGCTTGTATCAAGTTGACAAAAACACCCAACACAGGTGTCACTCCCAGAGAACAGGAAATCGTCTCCTGCTTGAGTGAGGTGTCCCGAGGGTAGGGAGACTCCCCTGGAACACCTTCCATATAGAACCAAGCATGAATGCAAACGTCGGAGAAACAAAACTGGAGTCCAGGGAAAGAGTAGGTCCCAGAGTGGGGAGGCAAGGATGGGCGAACCCAGAGAAACAAAGACGCAGCTTCTGGTGGCTTTATTCTGGGGGTCTTTACTGAGGTGATCATGAAGTCTGCCCAGGATGACAGGAACATCATGTGGAAATTGCACTGTGCTTCCTCAGACCAATGGAAGAATAGCTGACGGTACTCTATCACTGTCTTCATATACTGGCCAGTGAAAGGATGAGCTGTGACCCCAAACTCAGGATGCGTATTTGAAGTAGGAGAGAGCCAACCCAGGGTTTCTCTGTGTTTCCCTAGTTGGCCTGGAACTTTCTCTGTAGACCAGGTTGATCTCGAACTCACGGAGAACCACCAGCTGCCTCTTGAGTGCTGGGGTTAAAATCTCATAGTTTTTTTGTTTTGTTTTGTTTTTATATTTCATGCAATACATTTTGATCATATTCCTTCCCCTCCCCCATCTATCCCAGTTCTTACCTCACCTCCCTTCCTCTTCAAACAAAGTACAGGTGCTTGCATGCATGCAAACTGCGGTGCCTGTTTTGGCCATTTGCACTTCTGATGGGGACTTTACCTTCTGGTTTTGTTAGCCTTGTGGTAGAGACGCACAGCTCACTGCACTTACTGTGATCTTTTATCTGTGTGCGTTTTAGTTTGGGGCCAGGAAGGAATGGCTAACTGTATTTGTCATCCACAGCCTGCACTTTGGCTTTGTGGCCAGGTGAAGGTCCCAAGGCTGGTTCATTTTAACTCAGCAGTAACAGACGGTTGAAGGATTCCTTGATGAGATGTTAGTGTGTGACTCTTCCATCCGTTCCACTTTCCTAACTCTGTGCCCTAACCAGTGGTATCTAGGCAAGGTCAAATGAACAGAGGGAGGACGATAGCCCTTTAAATACTAACACCAAAAAGAGCTTATAGCACCACCTGCTGTCTTAAAATATAATTTTCTTCTGTTGCATCACGGCTCATGTTTTATAGTGTTTATGACAAGTGTGTATCATAAACTAAGGATTGTGAACCCGCGCAGTGACTTTGGGAATGAAACTGACTACCGGGTGATGGTTTTGTGTTTATAGTGTTGGCCATCACAGCTCTGAACTGCTTAAAATTTGTTAGTGCAAGAGTCAGAAAGTACGCGATACAATAATAGAAATGCCAAGCAATTACTATTTATGTGATATGTACTTCTCTAAGTACCCTATGTGGGCTTTCCTTCTGAAATACAACCATGATTCTTTACTAGTTGTGTCACACAATCTTGGTAGATGCAAACATTGTGACCAGTATCACATGTTGAGTAAGAGGACTAGCCTCTGAGCACAGCAACGAGACTCACTGTGATGAGACTCACTGAGCCAAGTCCTCTCACCCAGTGGTCAGTGCCTCTCATGTCTTCAGCAAAGCACACCAGCAGTGTGACTCAAGATTCCTTTCATACTGGCTGTATTCAAGAATATATTTGATTTATATGAGTAATATGTAGTAATCCTAGCTGACCCTTCCATCCTGTTGTGTGCCAGCCGCTCTTCTAAATGCTTTGCAGAAGTGAAATCATTATCGCCTCTGCAAACCTATGTAGTATTTCATTTTCAAACTTATTTTACAGGTAAGGAAATAGTTAAGTGACTAGCCGAGAGCACACAACTAGGGAATAACAGAAGCTATGGAACGGACCTGGATGGTCTGGATGTAAAATCTCTGTGCTATAGTCTAATGCTTAGAAAATTTGATTCTAAAAGATTATAGTTATGTTTAGACAGAATAGAATTTACAGAGATCTGCATGACAGAGCTAAGATAAAAACAAAAAAAGCTGTGCAGGTTGGGTGAAAATTTAGGAAAAGATGGCTTTAGTTGATTTCTTCTTTTGGTATCAGAAGCAATTCTGTAAGCTGGCAAGATGACTTAGGAGACAAAGGTGTTTGCCACCAAATCTGACAAGTGGAGTTCAGTCCTGGACCCATGTGGTAGAAGAGCCAGTTTCTGCAGTTATCCTCTGAACTCTACAGTGCACCATGGCGTGTACACACACACACACACACACACACACACACACACACACAAATATATTTTAAACAACAAAAGTCCAAATAGACACACAAATTCTTCATTGAGTGTGTTCTTGAGCAGTCTTGATTGTTCTAGAATGGATAGAGGGAGGTGGAGGGGGTAGATTCTTGTTCTCCAGAATGGCTGTGGAATTATGTTCTAGTTTCTCTCTCTCTCTAAGTGACTTTGAGAAAGTTTTAGACAATATCTGCCTCCCGAATGTTTCTAGAATTTGTACAGTCCCAAGGAGTATTAGTAATAATGGAAACTGAGCCAGTGACAGCTGCTTATTACTCATGAGAATCTCCATTTTTATCAAATAAACATTCATTTCACCCCATTTCTGCAGAAGCTGGCAGTGATTAGCTAATGCCACCTAGTGGTTAGAATACACCATGGTTCCTGAGTCTGCAAGCCACAGAAATTATCCTCAGTGAGTCTAATTCAGAGGAAGAAAAGAGAGTGCTTGGAGTTTGGCATGTGCATGATTACTTGATGGCCAGTTCATTTGAGGGATCCAGCTCTACTTTAAACGTGCTTAGCAGATGACCCCAGCTCCCTGCCCCTAATCTCCTCCCCAGCAGCTGCTGTAATACCTCCTGGGTTGTATGGGGGCTGCAAAGATCTTCCGATACTATTTTGAGTTGAAGAGGGCCAGCTGAGCTCTCACGCAGGGGCGGGTTGGAGCAGGCCCATGTGTGAAGAGCCGGTCCAGACAGTGTTGGCAGTTTTGAAAATTTGTTTGCAGTTCTTCCTTGTTCATTTCTGTTGACCTCGGAGTGACTTTGTTGGTCCTCCTCATCTTCATATCCTCCAGTTTGTGGACAAGGTCTCCACAATCAAACGCCAGCTCATCTCCAGGCTCTTCAGTGAGAAGTTCCCTGCACACACCGGTCTTTCTGAACTCTGCACATACACGATTAGAGCTTTAAAACTTGCTTCTTTTCCTGATGTCATTAGTCCCCGTTCTGTATTCCCTCACTGCAATCTCAAGTCTTCCGTGTCTCTTCTAAAATTCAGGCAAACCACAAACACAGGCTCCCCTTAGAACGTCTGTTGTTTACCTCATTAATTTCCATCCATACTTGACTTAGACTCCTGGCTGGCACATCTTCAAATAGTATCTGCTTGCTTGTAAATATTTCATGCGTGTACCTGCCATTTTACTTATTCATTCATTCCTAAGCTCTTTGCCTTGCCTGGAACACAAGTACTCTTTAGTCCTCAAGTGCCTGCCACCCACTAGACTATACCAAATATAGAGTAGCTTCAGCTCCATTCAGCTCCTCTGAGCTCTGCCGCCACTGAGAGCACTGAACTGCCTGTCCATTTTTGCCTGTGTGTTTGTGAACTCATGTAAAATTACTTCCTTTGTGTACTGGTAAATTACTTTTTGTTTTCCGCTACACGAGGACTGAGGCCATCTTTGTTTTCTCGATACGGCTTATTTGAACTGGTTTCTTTGTCTGAAGAGTTATGCTTACCTTACTGACTGTTTTATCAAGCACTCCATTTTTCTAGATAGGCTACTTGGAATTTTAGAAATATCCTTTATTTAGAACCTAAAAGTCTTGTGACCAGAATGTAAACATTTCATGGATCAGGACAGTTGAAGAAATGTTTACTAAATTGTGTGGCTTTAGTTAACGAGTCAAGCATTTGGACCCAGCCCATCACTCCCAAGCCCATGTCCCTTTCCCCCACACAACCTCTGCCTTAGCGCTGGACCCTCCTTTCGTGTGTGCTGTACCAATGCTTTGCATTCCTACTTTCCCTCCAAAGGGATTCTGCTCTCCAGAGGGCAGAGGGGCTTTTTCCCCATCATTTCTGTTGATGTAGTAAATTAAGTATCCCAACAAAAGTAACTCTGAGGAAGGAAGGAAGGAAGGGTTTATTTGGCTTACAATCCCAGGTCACAGTCCGCTGTTGTAAGAATGTTAAGGTATGAACTTGAAGCATCTAGTTATAATCACAGTCAGGAGGAGAGAGAAAATGAATGCATGTGTCGTTAGTTGTGCTCAGTCTCTTTTCTATACGATATACTCCAGGATCCAGACATAGGGAATGGTACTGCCCACAATGGGCAGATCTTCCTTCTGCAATTAATGTATTCCAGGCAGTTCCTCACATACGTGCCCACCGCCCAACCTGAGCTAAGTAGTTCCTCACCGAGACTCTCTTCAGAGGTGATTTTAGATTGTGTCAAGTTGGCATGTAAAACAAACTGTCTGCCTGGCCTGCTCTTCTGTTTCCTTCACCACCCTCTGTTCCATGCTTAGTCACACATATTCGTTAACTCACCTGAGCTATATATAGGAGTAGGACAGGGTCCCTGCCTGTCATTTTTTTATCCATCCATCGATTTACTGAATCCCAAGACCATTTTCTAAGGTGCCCTGAGCACCGTGGATAAATGTTACATCCATGTTGGACCTCTGATACTTAGTTGGGAAAGTAAATGAGTTCACTGACTAGGGGGACTTGGGACACTTAATTTAATTAAATCCAGAGAATATTTATATGAATTCGGTGAAAATCTAAATTTGTGTGTGTTTCCTGCCACAGGGATTCCGAGCAAGCCCTCGGCACATCAGGAGACGAGTTGCTGCTGCTGCTGCTGCGGCTGCCCGGCTAGAAGAAGTCAAGCCTGTGGTGGAAGTTCACCATCAGAGCGAGCAAGAGTCATCGGGGAAGAAGCGAAGAATCAAGAAAAATAGCCGAGTGCAGCCAGAATTTTATCATTCTGTCCAAGGTGCCAGAAGGCCTGTAAGTATAGAGCTGTCTTTTGTAAGAGTATTGAATACACACTCAGATGTTGAAATCATTTTCTTGAATACGTTTTGGATCAAGTAATTAGGCTATCCTGTTGGTACCCCACAAAGTGACTGGGTACACATGAAAGAAAAGCTGTTGGGTAGATCCTTGCCAGAGGCAAGAGCGGGTCAGTGTCACACAGACCTGATCTAAATACTAGGGGATTCTTGGTGCCCTTGGAGCTGTGGTCTACAATGAAGAGGGGGGCTTTTGAGTTAGCAGGCTGAGGTGTGACATCAGAGCGACAGTAGAGCCTGTATCAGGACAAGAAAAGCACTGATGGGGAGCTGGAGCTGGAATCTGTGGTGCTAGCTGATCCCCTTCCAGGAATCTCTAGGGCTGGGAAGATAAAGCTTCCCTGTAAAGCCAGCTCGAGGTAACTCTACAAAAACCTTCTAACTGCAGCCTTTCCACTGTAGGAAGGCAGGGGCTTTGTCTCCCTAACTATGGTGGTTTGAATGAGTGAGAATGTCCCCTTTGGGCTCATAGATTTGAATGCCTGGTCCCCAGTTGGAGGAACTGTCTGGGAAGGATTGGGAGGCATAGTCGTGCTGGAAGACGTATGTCACTGGGTATGGGCTTTGAGGTTTCAAAAACCCAACCCATTCCTATTTAAATCTCTCTTGTCCTGGTGGTTGTTGTCTCAAGATGTAAACTCTCAGCTGCTGCGTCAGTGTAGGGCCTTCCTGTGTGCTGCCATGGTCCCTGCTATGATCATAAACTCTAACCCTCTGGAACTGTGAGCCCAAGTTAGACGTTTTCTTTTATAAGTTTCCTTGGCCATGATGTTTGGCCACGGCAATATTAAAGTAACTGAGACACTAACAAAGTGTCTGTTGACATCAGCACTGCCTTCCCTGGGGTGCCGGGGTTCAGCTGGAGGCTGATCTCCTCATTTTCTGAGCACATTGCTCTAGGTGTTCTGATGGTTTTGTCTTGGTGGCCTCTGACACATGGATTTCCAAACGAACGCTGTGATAATTAAGGATCGAGGCCTTGGGAAATGCTATTTGAAAACTAAAGATTATATTTCTTAACTGTAATAATTTTATATTATTTTAGAAGTTAAGTTCACGTGGTTCATGCTTATGCCGTGTCAAGCCTATTGTTATCATTTTCTGTACTGACAACCTAAGGGAACTGTCAAGGTTTGACTTGATAATGCCTCTGCAAGCCATGAAGACACAGATGCCATTCCGTAGGGGTCACCGGGCAGCAGGCACATGTGGAAATAGGCTTAGTGAGGAAGCTAGCAGAAGGGTCCTGCTTCTAATGAATCATTTGCAACAGAAGCACTGAAGTGCACTGTTTAATGACAAGATGTGTTATTGGTGCTTACAACATCCAGAAGAACTGTCAGGCAGGAAATGATGTCTTTAGGGAGAGGAGACGATGGGGTAGAGAGAACTGTTTGGGTGTGTGGGGATTTACATAAGAGAAATGCATACAAAAGCAATCTGGAGAAGTTGACTGGGGCCATATATTCAGACAGCCACTGGTTTAAATTCCACTTGCTGTACTTCCCAGAGAAAGCCAGAAAAAATAAATCAATTTTTATTTATTTAAATACAATTTATTTTATTGAAATAAAATGATAAATTTTATTTAAAATGATAAAAATACGATGATTTTTGGAAGATTAAGAATGTGTTGTGTGTGCAGCAGGCTGGGGCACATGAGCTGTGACTGCAGTAGGCTAGGTAGGTGTCATGACTCAACTCTGACGTCCGTTATTAATAATAGTTCATCTGAGAACGGCCTTTGTCAGCTGGGTCCTGAAGGAGCAGCAGGAAGGAGGGAGACAGAGGAGGGCCGAGGGAGGATCAGAGGCTGTCCACAGCCTGGTGTGTGTTTGTGGGAGCAGGTGATGCGGGCTCCCCCACTGCTTGCATTTCTAGTAAATTGTCTGGGAGACCAGACGTTGTCAGTCAGCAGCGAGGAGACCGTTGGCTCCTTGTTTTGTGTGATTTCTCTGCAAACTTTTGAAACAGTCTGGCCGCTGCTAACCTTTCACCATTTCTCTGTCACCTGTAGACTGAATCTTCCATGTCTTCTGATGGGTGTAGTTAGCTGCAGTCACTTGTATGGGCTGCAGCCACCCTGTTCACCCTACCCAAACCTGTTCTTTTTATCGCTTCCTCATTTGGATAAAGTTAGTGCTGGCACGTACTGCTGCAAGAACAACTCTAGCCGTGGCTTGGAGATGGGATGAAATTGCATCAGGGTGATGACATGGTGAGATTGTATCAGATGGGATTGCATAGTGATCCGGAATTATTTGGATGGCTTTATGTGAAGCACTCCAGGCATTTGTAGGAGTGACTGTAATAAGACCTGTGAATAAGAAAGACTGGCAAAGTAACTGCAAAGAAGAATCAGAAGCTATGACAGCGACTGAGGGTGTAGCTCAGTGGTCAAGTGCTTGCTCGCCGTGCACATGGCTGTGGGTTTACATGCAAGGAGGAGGCGAGGAAGGCATGACTGTGTTCCTTTCTGCCGGCTCGTAGTGGCACTGCCTTCATGATGACAGGTCGTGTGGAATGCTTTGCCCTTCATGGCCTTTGACGGCTGTAACAGACTGGCTTGTTCTGAATTCATAATTTATACTTAAGAGTGCCTATAAGATGTATAATGGGGATCACTAATAGAAACTTAATTAATAATACATGGACTTCTTATGTCACTCCTTTGGGAAATTGGATGTCTCTAAAGCTGAGTAGGCAGCCATTTTATCCCGATTTTCTCCCGGTAAATGCATCTTGAGATTTATTTTCATCTCAGGGTCTGTCACTGGCATGTTTAGGGATCTTGAACCACACTGGAGCAGGAAAAACAATTAGCTCCTCCTATGTGCTTTAATATTTTTGACAGTACAAAACACTTTTTGATTTCTGAATGTCAGAGTCCTTAAGTACTGTATTCACAACTTTTTCATTGCTGTGAACCACATATCCGATAGAGACCAGAGGAGAACGCTGTATCTGCACTCTCTTACTGTGAGAGACATAGCAGAGCTGTCCAGTCATTGATGGTAGGAACATGTTCACACAGCTCAGGCAGGAAGGAGAGACAGTGCAGGCTGGAGCCAGGGCAGGTAGCACTGACTAGTCCCCAGTGAACCACCTCCTTTAGCCAGGCCCTGCCTCCTACACTTCACAGCCTTCAGACAGCACCACAGATGGGCAAGTCACTGGGCTTTCAATGTGGGGTACTGTGCAGGACTTACCAGATTCAAACCGTAGCGGTTTTCCTTGTTGTCATGCGGAGACTTGTATCCCTCCGTGTTTGCTTCCTGGGCTTTGTTCCCTGTGCTCTTTGCTGTTTTTCTTCTCGCTTAATTTCCCCAGCAGTCTTCGGGCAAGTGCTCAGTTTCCAGGGGAGGAAGTTTGCCAAGCTCATGCACCTGGTAGAAAGCAGGGCTGACATTTAAACCCAGGGTCTCTGGACTTGAGAATATTGGCGAGAAATGAGAAATTCTGCATTTTCACATTTGTGGTCAGCTCCCTGGTTATCTTAACCACACCGAGTCTCAGATATGCATACACAAAATCTTTGTGTTTTAAACAATCAGTCAGCCAGGCAGTGGTGGCACACACCTTTACTCAGGGGGCAGAGGCAGGTGGTTCTCTGTAAGTTGGAGGCCAGCCTGGTTTACAGAGTGAGTTCCAGGCCTGCCAGGGCCATACAGAGAAACCCTGTCTTGGAAATAAGGCTAATTAGCTAACTAAACAATTGTACCAGTCAAAACCTATTTTTAAATGATGCTAAAAGCAATAAATAAGCCCCAAATCTCATTTTTGCTGCGCATCTTATTGGCTTGCTCTTCCTATGCCAGGGAACCCAGGAAATAGGAACCTTTGTTCTGATGTCTCTTTGTTCAGATCTGTTCATGTAAGACAGCTCTCGGTCATAGGGACATCAAAGTTCCAGAATTAAAAACAAACAAACAAGCAAAAAACATTAAAAAACCCTCTATCTATTTCTGTTCTATTTTGCAGACTAGTTCTTTTTTAATATTGCAGCATGATTTCTTCTATTTCTGGCTTAGACCTCTCTCTGCACTTAGCTGCTAATGCTCCTGCTTCACTGTCTAACCGATAGCTTGCTTCCCTCCTGGCAGGAATATCAGTGTGGAGCTCCCCTTGGTTTTCTTACTTCTGAGCTCTTACTACCAGCCAGAAACTGGTTTACTGAGTGTGAAAATTTTGATTCAGAGGTTGGTTAATACAGGGGAGAAGAAACAGGCTTAGGCTTGGGGGGAATAAAAACATGTTAAGTTTGCAATGACCCTAACGAACGGTCTGTCTTAGAAGACGTGAGTCTGGATTTGGGAGCCATTTGTACAAAGATGTTATCAAATGCATGACCTGGATTGGGTGACCCAGGAAGTGAAGTTGCAGCTTGGGTGTCTGATGTGCGAGTTTGAGAACAGGGCCTAAAGCTGCTTCGGAATGAATACCTTTTCAGTGTGTTTCAAAGGCTTCTCTGTACACAGTGAACTTTCACTTAGCTTACGTGGAGAGATCCTTGTAAGGAGTAGAGTTCAGCCAGTCACAGCAGAGGGAGCAGGAAGCTACAGGCGGCCAGCTTTCCAGATCGGGCGCAAACAAGGTAATTGCTGGTTTCTGTGCCTCGCTCCGCTTTCTGTGTCCACTCCTTTCTTCTGCTGTAAGTAGAACCTGAGCGTGTGATAGAGGGAAACATCATGGAACAGTTCTGTCTGGCACCTAGACTCTAGAATTGTAAAAAGTGCTTTTTAGGATTTGGTTTACTTTGCTCTTAGCCAGGCGCGGTGGCTCGTGCCTTTAATCCAGTCACTTGGGAGACAGAGACAGGGGGATCTCTATGAGTTTGAGGCTACCCTGTGCGTTCCAGGAGAGCTGGAGTTACATAGTGAGCTACTCATCCCCCCCACTCCTCCAAAGAAAGATTTGGTGTTCTCTGTTCTTTTA